TAGCGAGACGTCACGCTGGCTGACCCAAAACACATTTTTGCGAATTTCTCGGAAACCGAGTGTGCACGGAAATTAATTTTGGTGGCTCTAAACTGCACCTAATTCCTGAATAATATTTACCAGTGTTCAACGAAAATTAGTGGGTGGGTCAGATAGCGAGACGTCACGCTGGCTGACCCAAAACACATTTTTGCGAATTTCTCGGAAACCGAGTGTGCACCGAAATTAATTTTGGTGGGCTTAAGCTGCACCTAAATTGCACCTAATTCCTGAATAATATTTACCAGTGTTTGACGAAAATTAGTGGGTGGGTCAGCTAGCGTGACGTCACGCTGGCTGACCCATATATTTTTGCAATTTTCTCGGAAACCGAGTGAGCACTTAAATTAATTTTGGAGGCCCTAAATTGCACCTAATTCCTGAGTAATTTTTATCATTTTTTTGGAGAAGTGGGTCAGCTAGCGTGACGGACGTTGAAACATACGACTGTCAAGTATGCGACGTATGGAAATACCAATATGTAACACTGACACTAGGGTGGGTCGAATTACACAAAGTGCAAAAATATTAATTACACAAGTAGAAGATTAGACAAAACCTTGTTTTTGGGGCGCACCCTAGGAGAGGCCCAACCAAAAGGTTACGAACCCACTCGTAATACCACCCAAGCTGCCGAGGGTCTTTTTAGCCCGCCAAGTGACTGGGCTCTGGGTGCGGAATGCTACAAAGGATGGGAGAAGGAAACACAATAGGAGAAGCATACCGACAGCAACGACGCACAAAAATTATACTTATCGGCGGTCGGTGGGCGGTCCAACTGCGGGGGTTCTTCTTGGTTCCCAAATCCGGTGTCGACGATAACACGTCTCGACTGACGCTGCTCTCCCAGGATCTTGCTACAATAGTGCCTCGCCTGACACTTAAAAAAATGCTTTTACCAAAAGAATCCGCTGCCAATTAAAAATAAATAAATTATGCTACGCTCGCAATACGGGTGTTGTCTGACTCGATGCTCGTTCAGATCTGCCCCGGCACGCAGTTGCGAGCCAGGCCGCAACCTACGCACCGGTACACAAACCGATGGAGTGTCAGCGCCGGTGTTGTTGATTCCCGATCAATTGGCGCCGGCCCGATCATTCTAGAAGCGAATTGGGCGCTTTAGCGGTCGCCACCACGGCGCACACAAACACCACCATGGACTTGCCATTACCATAATACGGCGGACAACAGAACTGCCGCAATAGGTGAGAACAACGGCGACACCCCTATTACGGTCTTTCGCGTCATCTCTCATTCCTAAATTCTTACTGTCGGTCGGCACCGTTTTGGGGTGGAGTGCCCTAATGGAGACTTTTCCCCTTTGCAGTAGCGCTCCACCGACAAACAGCTATTTCGCTCAACTTGAGCTCATTCTACTATTTATTTAGGTATGTACATACATATGTACACTTGAGTGTCGGTAGACTCCACTCCTATCGGTTGGAGTGAAAGGAAATAGGAAAATATAATGAAGGGGGGAACAAAAGAATATTTTGTTGTGGCCAGTATGCGACAATATTTTGGTGTGAAACATTATCTGAAAAATCCTATGCAAATCGGTGCATCGAAAAATATCGATGTACTTTTCGATGCATCGAATCAAAGAAAACCATCGATATATTTTTGCCACTGTCAAAGCTGGCAGTATGATGCTTGAAATACAATACCGGCGAACGGCAAACTTCGCTAAATTGGGCGATGCTGTCGTTCACCGTTCGCCCAGCTATTTCGCCTACTTAAACAGAATTAGAGCGGTAGCGAAAACGCCTTTATAATTTAGGTGACCATATTTAGAAAAAACTAAACCATATTTAGAAATGAGGAAATGATAACAAATATAAATGTAAAACAAAGAAAGATTATTATAAATAATTTGTTTCAAGCCAGATTTAACTAATCCACAACTATATTTTTCAAACAACAAAAAAAAGTCGTGTTTAGGTTGTTTTCTTTTAAAACTTTGAAAGCAAAAAACAAATACGGCCACCTTTGGCACGCACAGCTGTCATCGCCCAGCAGGGCGATAGAAATAAATCAGTCACCATGAAACGCCGTCAAGCGAACTTCGCATTTCGCTTTGGCTGTGTTCAATTTTATATGCTTGCGGGTGTTCTAATTTTGACAGCGCGAATTTCGCTGTGGTGAGTTCGCCGTTCGCCGGCATTGTATTGCAGCTATGAGGGGCACGTAACTATAGTATATTTTGCTTAGCTTGTGCTCTTAACCGAAAAGAGCACTTAAGCAAATTTTCTTTACTACTTAAATGGGGAAGGTATCCGAATCCCTATGAAAGCAAATAATGGAGGAGCACTTACCACGTTGAAATTACTGCAAACGAAACTTTTTCCGAATGGTATCTAATTATCTACATATATAACTACATAAAATTAAAGCCGTTTTCGTTGTTCTGCGAGATGAGAAAAATTAATAACGCTTGTAAAATTAGGGTAAGAGTGGAGCCAATGCAGGTAAACGTAATACTTTCTTTGATAATTTATAATAGTTGCAAATTTTTAAGGCAGGTATCGCTAATGTGCAGGTATGTTGAATGCATTTATCGGAGCAGTTTGCTTATAAATGTTTAAAATAATGCCGATGATGCGCATTTTGTGGTAGGTATCTTAAATGTGCACTTCAGCATAAAGGCAGCAAAGCAAAATATACTGTTGATGTTGCATGTTCATAGGCGGGCCTTGTTTTCTTTTGGCGATCAAAATTAGCGATGGCGAATGTTGGAATCCGGCTGCCGATCATCAATTCCAATGCCGGACGCCAATATCGAACGACGTATGAAATAATTCGAAGCTCCCTCTGGTGATTGGGGAAACTTCGAAATATACAAATTAAACAGAAGGTGAGAGGACACCACCCTATTGGATCCCCTGTTCAATTTTTCGAGGTTTTGATCTCTGAATGTAACTGACGATCTGACTAACCTTAACCTTATTTTTGTCAATGTTTTTTATTTTTTTATTTTTTCCAGTTTTTAATTATAAAACCACTTAATTTTTAAACATCTGAGAATTATGTTTGTTTCTATGGTATGCAAATTTATTTGAACGCGTCAAAGTAGATTACATCTCGATAACCAAGTCTCTGTTTTTCGATTTTCGGCAAACTTCAATTGATGACCTCCCTTTGGTGGGTTGTTGGCTTCCTGAAATCAAAAATGAAATATACAAACGTGTAATAATTTCAAAGCAGAATTACGGTTACCAATCGTTTTTCCATTTTTGATTTTATATCGCTAGCCAATGTTAGAAAAGCTTCTTCCACATTGATACTGGCTTTTGCAGAAGTTTCCATAAACTTTATGCCATATTCTACGGCCAACTGCTCTCCTCTTTCCCGAGAAACCTGTAGAGAAGAAATACATTAGTTCTTGCGGCACTTCAGTATATTCTGCTTAGCTACATATTTGAAAACATATGATACGACAAAGCTCTTCATGCTTTAGTTTTATCTGTGGGAGCAACTAGCTGAAACTTTGCAGATTTTTTATAATTTTTGCACAAAGTTTGAAATGTGAATTTATATGGTGTTTGTTATATAATGAGCTTTTATGGAAAAATAACAAACATTAAATAAACAAAAGAAAAATAGCCAAAATGTATCAAAATGTTGATGACATAATCAGCTTATCATAGGTGTATGCACGTATGTGTATTACTAATGCCCGCAGCATTTCCTTTTCAGGGCCAGTTTTCCAGTGCGAGTTTAACTCTGTTTGTCGATTAAACTAAGTTTAAACCCAATAAGCAGTTTTTCAGTCAACTTTAAACTGAGTTTAAACGGCCGATATGGCAGGGTTTAACCTAGTTTAACCTATCAACTGTTTGCTGATTCGTTTGTTTTGGTTGCAAAAAATTCAATTGAACGCAAGGTCTTCTAATTCAATTTTTACTTAAAAAATTGATATTTCCTCTGACGAAAGTGATTATAGTGACGCGGCAGTAAGTGAAATACTTACAACTAGTAATAATCCCCGAGAATCGGGGTGCTCCGTGGTCTAAAAAATCTGCATATGTCTTTGTTCTAAAAACCCTATGCATTGCTTTTTGTAGGTAACTTTAACTTTGGTATTTTGGCAAGGTCATACCTACTCAATACTCAAATGAGCAAATCCATTTTTGGCAGCAAATGTCAGTTCCGCGGTTTTGCAGAATGACGATACGCGGTTTTGTACTTTAAGCAACGATATATGGGTGTGTGTACAGAGCAGGGTTGTTGCGAATATTCGCATTCCCATTCGCAACCGCGGAGCTTCCGCATTAATTTTAACATTCGCATTCGCTTTCGCAACCGCAATAATCAATGCGGAGCTTTTGCGAATGCGAATATTGTCCAAGTGCACTGATAAAACGTATATCTGGCAAACAAAATGACAAATTGTAGCCAATATTTTTTTCCTGTGGAGATGCTACGTTAAAATTGTCCCCTACGTCCCCCTTCTTTTGTACTTTAAAGTCAAAGAGTAAGATCCTTCAATAGGTGCTTCTATGTATGTGGCTATTAAGTGAAGCGACTATTTGCGCGTTAAAAGATAACCTTTAATAAGATAATAATTATGTAGTTATCGAATATTATTTGTCAAAGGTCTGTTGAAAAAACTGGATGCATCGCTAGTTTTTATTCTACTTTTTCTTAGATAAGTGAAATTTTACTTATTTCCTTTTCATAAAACGGCTTATTATCATTAAGTTCCGTATTTTCTTTTATTAATAATAATAATAATAGATTGGCGCCTACACATATGTTAGTGTTTGGCCAAGTTTTCCTCCGATTTGTGGCGTGCGCCTTGATGTTGTCACACAAAGTGGAGGGACCTACAGTTTTACGCCGACTCCGAACGGCGATTGTATTTTTTATGGGAAGCCGTTTTTCATGGCAGAAATACACTCGGAGGTTTGCCATTGCCCGCCGAGGGGCAACCGCTGTTAAGAAAAAACCTTCTTTCTACATTTTTGCGATGGTGCTTTGACTTAGCAGAAAAACACACCAAATAATTTTGACCAGTTTTACTATGCTAATACTCCTCTGTGGGCTCGAAAACAACAACATTTATTTATTCAAAATGTCAAAATTTCCACGCAGCGAAATAAAAATAAAATGGAATAAGAAAAACTTGACAGCCAAGTTCACAAGTCAAATAAGAATCAATTCAAGGCGAATTTAATAACTGTTTTTCTGTCAGAATCGGTTTGGATTCTGATTTAAAATGGTGTCGCAGAATCTGATTGGATTTCGCTTTTTCGAAGATAAACAAAACCCATGTTCGAACCAGCTGTGCAGTAAAGTTGGATGAAAAATTTGTATTTACTTGTGCAAGTAAAAGGAAATTGGGATTATTTGCTGTTTAAATATATCGATATTAGATAAGTGGTAAAAAATGAGTAACGCTGTGGCCGTGTATTTGTTAATGAGAATAAACCGTGATGAAAAAACGAAACGCAAAAGAGATCAGAGAGATGCCGGAACGATTGTAAGCTCATTCTCTATCGCAAGCGTAATTTTTGTAAAAGTGCACATATTTATGTATATAATAATCTTATTTTAGATTCATTAGACAGTTCCGTTTAAATAAAGATGCATTTCGTATGGTTATGGGCGTTGTATAACCGCACTTGCTTCAGAGTTCTCTGCCTCCCATGCTTCAGCTTGCAACAACGCTACGTTTTTTAGCAGAAGGCTCATACCAGAGACAGTAGGAAATGATTTCAACGTCAGCTTAGGGAGAAGTACGGCGTCGAAAGTACTAGCATATGTTTTGAATATTCTTAAGCGAACAATTTGCCTGGAATGGATACAAATAGCAATGGATGAACGTGAAAAGCATCAATGTATGCAGCATTTTTATGAAAAGTACAAAATTCCAGGTATTACTGACTGCATTGACGGCAGTCATGTTAAAATAATAAAGCCTCATCTTGACGAACATTTGTACTACAACAGAAAAGATAATTCAGCATGAATACAATGATAAGTATAATGAGATACCTAATTTAACCCATTTGTTTTAAGTCACTCAATTTAAGGTTTGTGATCATAATATGCAGATACGGGCGGTTGATTCCCGGTATCCTGGGCAAGTCACGACTCCTTTGTTTGGAACATTAGCAGTGGCCGACAATACATTCTAAATCAGTATCGAACAGGCGATCGCACCTATCGGTTTTTAAGAGATTGTGGATATGGCATTGAACCATTTTTGCTGACGCCATATCGAAATCCACAGTTCAACTCGCAGCAGTACAAATTTAATCTGGCACATTCAGCGGCTCGTAATATTGTAGAACGAACCATAGGAGTGTTGAAAAATCGATTCCGTTGCCTACTTGAAACTTTGCACTACAGCCCAGAAAAAAAAGTCAAAGTAGTAAACGTGTGCTGTGCACTTCACAATATTTGTAGACGTTATAAAATTGTGGATACTGAAGACGAACACATAACCCAAGCAAGTGAGGCAGACGGAGACATATATTCTGATATAGAAACATTGCGGATCAACACAACAGAAGGCGAAAGAATTAGGGACGAGATATCGGTAATTCCTTGCTACTTAAGTCTTGCACTTTATTATAATAAAATTCATTGGGCTACAAATCTGCATCAAACAAATTCTAAAAAATCTTTATTTAAAAATTCTTAAAAAATTTAAAATTTTCATGAAAATTTGCTGAATTTTCGGGAGTTTTGCACAAAGTTTAGGAATTATATTTTTATGTTTTTTGTTGTAGAATGAAACATATTTTTATACGAAATTGGTGGAAAAATATTAGAATGAAAACTTTTGCATATATTGTGAAAAATTTGCTGTGCCAATACTTTGTTCGGGCGGTGTATATACATAACTAATAGTTTTATTCATAAGGTTCATTAAAAAGCATCAATTTAGAAATCTTTTTAAACCGGGTGCAGAAAAATTCGTTTTCAAATGATTAAAATTAATTCATTACATTTGTATTTGCGATCTGTGAACGAATTTTATAACCATTTGTTTTCGTTGCCTGGCGACGATTGTTTTCTTTTTTTGTTTTCATTCGGAAGAATGGATTTTTTAATTTTGTTTGCGTTCTAATTAACTTAAAGGTATATTATTTTCATTCGTTATATACGAATGAATATGAACTGACTCATTCGCTCTCTGCCGCAAACATTTGCCCGAATTTATCACTATTTGGCGATGTATTACTATGTCTCCATTGAGAGATGTATCCTTTAAGATTTAATAAATCTAGTTGCTAAATCACAACCGTCTCCATTACCACAACGAGATATGTTTGACGTTCACATTTTTAAATATTTGACGTTTGCTTATGTATGATTTTATAAATACAGTTGCGGACATTGATATACAGACAGATAAAAGGAAGGTACCAAGCGGAATTTCATTATATGAATTCTGAATATAATTGGCATCTTATTCGTGGTAAATATGTATGTATGATATATAGTTTGGAAAGTGTAAAGAATGGTACCATATTCACATTTGCGGAAAGACAAATTTTTGTAGAACTCTCTTATTCATAGGAGGGAACCGAAAATCCAATCGTGGGCCTTTGGCATATCATGAATACGAACTGAGTCCTAGGGGATGTTCGGTGCAATGTTATCGAAGCAGAACCATTACCGAAGTTTATAAACATTTTGTCGCAGCGCGTAAATGACTTATAGAAAGCGGAGAAGACTCTGCATGATATTACTATAAAACATTTCTTCTAAATTTTTAGTTTTTAAAATAATATTTTCTTAATTTATTACAACCAAAGTTATGTAAATATGTATTACTAATTTTCCTCCCAAACTAACAAAAATATAAAAATCCCTAAAAATACGAAAATTAATGTTTTTATGATAGACTATATTTCAATGTCCTCAACTGTTTATTGAAAACACAAATGTCATTTGACTTATGGCATGTGAATTTGTGGTTGCCACATCCAACAAATTGTACTTATTGATCAATATTATTGAAGATTTAAATCTAAAAAAATTTAACGTCAAATCTCGTCAGAGGGCTAAATCTTCATTAAATCTCACAATGGAGACATAGTATATGTATTGTAAATATAAGTTGAAGAAAATTTATTTATTTTAATTCTTTTGTTTTCAAAGCACAGTATTATAAATTAAAATTATTTCAAACATCTACATATTTGCATATGTATAGGGCGAGTTCCAAGTTGCATGCTGCTTTGTATTGTATAATATTGTGTGTACATTTCGCAGCAATACAAAACAACATGCAACTAGAACTCACCCATAATTATGTACAATAGATAACAAATTTTCAAAAAAGTTCTGAGCTCTGGCATTTGACCATCATTTCATATTTAGAAATTTCCGCTGAGCCCAAG